GCCCAGCAGGTCGAGGCTGTGGTGGCCGGGAGCGGCCACTGCACTACAGTCTGGGTGACAGAGTGACACTCCAACTCAAAAAAAAAAAAACCCCAAAAACACCAGAAAATAAATGATATCATGGACACTGGAGACTCAGAAGGGGGAAGGGAGTGGGTGGAGGGACAAAAAATATCACCTGTTGAGTACAGTGTGCACAGGTGGGGGTGGTGGCCACAGTTAAAGCCCAGACTTCTTTGCCACTATACAGTGCAACCATGTAGCCAGAAACTACTTACATTCCCTAAAGCTACTGAAATAAAGAAGAAGAAAAATGTTCTCAGAAATTATTTCAGAGTTGCAGCTCCTAAAGTGCATCATCAGAGTGGCATTTCTTGTGGATTAGAAACGGACTTCCCTCTCCTTCCCGTGAGTACAAGGCCTCTTCCCACAGCCCCCTGGCAGGCGGGCAAGTGAGGACGTGTGTGAGGGAGAGACAGGCAAGGAGGCAGCTGATGTGCAGAGGCAAGCTTACCTTCCCTCCATCCTCCATCCTTCTCTCCCGGCTGGGATGCTGTGTCACCAGGCTCAGCTCTTTGCATAAGTGGCTCCAGGAAGACCTCCAAGCAAGGCTGGCCTGCATTTCCTTTGCAGCAGCTCCCACCGGGGCCCTGGAGAAGCAACTGGGATGTCCTGCCCTCTGCTCTTTCTCCCTAGCAGTGGCTGCTACTTCTGGGATGTTCCTCCTTGCTTTCTTGCCGCGCATACTGTCTTCAGACCAGGACCTCTTCCCAAGTATCCTGTCACCAATGGGTTGAGCACCACACTCCAGGCACCTGTGATGAGCCCCAGCTTCCGCCAGTGACCTCCCATTTCGGGGTTCAGGAAGCCAGCCACATTGGAGGCATTGTAGGGTCCTAAGCAGAGCAGCAGTGTGAGCAGGGCTCCACCAGCCACCCAGGCTGCCCTCAGCTTCCGTCTGTGGCTCAAGCCTGAGTGGGCCAGTGCCCGGAGGCAGCCCACATAGGAAAAGGCTGTGATGGCCAGGGGCAGAAAGAAGAGCAGAAGAGAGAGACTGAGACGGGCTGGGCCAGCTGAGGCTGGGTCCCAGGCCTCAAGGCAGACTGGAGAGCCATTAACTGGTGTGTTGATGCCCAGGGAGCTGGTGGTGTTATCCAGCCAGCCTCCCGGAGCCTCTAAACCACACACCAGCCCCAGGTGACAGAGGACAAGGGCCCATATGGCCACACATACCCCCCAGGAATAGCGTGGCCTCCGAACGGCTTGGTAACCCAAGGGGAAGGCCGCTCCTAGGTAGCGGCCCGCACTCAAGGCGGCCAGGAAGACCCCACCTGCATAGAGAGGAGCGAAGTGGGCCACAGCAAAGGCAGGACAGAGCGGGGTTGGCAGGGGCCAGGCTCCTGAGCCTAGGGCCTCCACCGCCTTCAGGGGCAGAGAGACTGTCAGCAGGAGGTCAGAGAAACCCAGGTGGAGAGCATAGACCAGGCTAGGAGTGAGGCGGAGGCGGGCGTGGGCCGCGGCCCCTCGGATGGCCAGAGCATTGAGAGGGAAACCCAGCACAAAGGCGGCCACATAGAGGGCAAAGGAGAGCTGTGGGGGCAGTTCCATGGAGCCGGGTGCTCGCCTCCACACCTCCTGTGTGAACTGAGCTTGCTCCCTGCCCTCAGATCCCCAGGCCCCAGGGAGAAGGGCCTCCTAGAATCACACACTGGTTCCCGCACTGCTTGGAGGATCAGAAGTCATCTAGTGAGATCACTGAGGAAACGGAAGTCCACTAAGGAGGAGGCAAACGGGGAGCAGAAGAGCCTGGATGAGAAGCCAGGCCTGTAGTCCTCAGTCCTTTGCTTTCTTTCCACTGTATTATCTCTTAAAATGAAGAGAGCATTTGGGGGCAACAGGAGACCATAGAACACAGGTGTGCAGATCCCGGAAGAAGGGCGGCCTCTGGATTTCTGAGACTCTGGGGGAAAGAAGGGGTAGAGAGAATTCAGCACTGACAGTATGTGTTCTTCTTGGAGTGGAAGTTAGACTCCAGTTCACTTCTGTCCCCACAGTTCCCTGGCCAGGAAAGAGCTGCTCCCCCACAGTGGAGCCTGCAGGGAGGTGAAGAGCGTCGGGTTTGGATAAGATGGGGGTCGAGCCAGGATCAGGCAAAGAAGGTCCCCAGGGGAGAGTCCCAGGATGAGCTGGGTCCCATCAGTGTCAAGGATGACCTTAGCAGGCCCCAGGGGGCACTAGGGGTCTAGTCTAGGGGTCTGAGGAAGAGTTGTTAGTGAAGAGAGGAACCCCAGAAAGAGGGACTCACCTCGGTGCCGCCAGATGTCTCTGAGGCTCAGAGTACCCCTCACTGGGCTGATGGAGGATACCTAGAATGGGCAGTGAGCCGGAAGGGAGCGAAGGGCGGGGTGGCAGGGCCATTAGCCTGAGGCGCTGGCAGCTTGGGTGAGCAGCTAATGGGGCATCCCGGCTTGATCTGAGGCCCCACTGAAGAAGTGAGGAGAACACAGAAGCATCTAGGGAGGTTGGGTGGGGTATGGGGTGCATAGTGCCTTGAAGGAGCAGAGTTCATGTGTACAGCCAGCCCCCCAGCGTTAATCCCTCCCTTCCCCTGCCACTTCTCCAAACCTGGGCTGGGGGCTCTGTCTTCCTGACTCCTGGATGACTTGTGGGCAGGCCCCAGCCTATTGGCTTGCTCCTGGACACCAACAAGCATTTCAATGCCTGCAGTCCCCCAAACCATAGCCATGTGGCAGTGGGTATGTGAGATAACAAGGTAATCATGCCAGCGTGCAGCCTCTGCCCTCTTTTGCTCTCATTGGTTGTGGGTAGGTGTTTGGGAGGAGGGGACCCCTCCTCTACTTTCCCTCTAGCCCCATGATGGTCGTTTCTGGCCTTTCCAGGGTTGACTGAAGGATAGGGAAGAGGAAAAGAAGGGACAAGCAAAGTCTCCTTTGGCAAGCACTGGAGTCACCAGGCTGTGGTCTCACTCTGCCTCTCTCAGGGCAGGACGGATGGCCAAGCCGACTCCCCAAGGGGCATTTGGAGAATGCCCTGGCAGCACTCGCAGAAGCACAGGTGACATGATCCCCAGACGGCTGCTTAGCTTCCTCCTCTCAGCTCTGGGAATCCAGCTGAATCTTCACCTCCCCATTGGGGTCACTTTTTTAAAGATAGGGCCCACATCTGCCAATGAAAAAGAAAGCCTCAAAGTCTGTGATTCTCTGTCTATCTCTGACTGTGCCTGTGTCTTTGTCTCTCTGTTTTTGTCTTTGCTTCCTTAGAAGGACAACACATTCTCTCATCTCAGTTTTCTCGGGTGTATATTGGTCACCAGCCACTTAACCCTTCCAAATTCCAGGTCATCCATAATAAACTTCTCCCTGAGTGGCCTCTTCGAAGCTCGTCTCACCAGACTTCCGGCGGGGGCAGCACGGGACTCAGCATACCACCAAGGCCTTCTGAGGACATTATCTCATTTCCTTTTTATACCTCAGAGTTACTAAATTGGTCCGTGCTTGCCTCTTTTCCAAGGGCTGTATATGTGATATGGCACCCCACTGGGAATGCAGAAGATCTTTCCACCTACTGTTCTGTGTTTTGTCTTTGGGAAACCCTGAGAAACGGACAGAACTGAGGAAAAACCAAAAGGAGTGCCATTTCACCGTTTGTGCCAAGTGTCTGGGAGAAGAGTAAAGCTCTGGGGAAGACATGGGGTCTTCCAGGTCTTCTCTGCTTTGGGCCCATCCATCTGGCAGTTGGCTCTCTGCCCAATGTCACCTGCTCCAAGGGCCTTCTTTGATCCAATCTGGCCCCTCCTCCCTCTGCATTTGTCTTTCATCGTGTGTATTCATGACGCCATGACATCGTATTTACGGGCTCCTCTGCTAGAATGTTGGGCTTATGAGAACAGATTTGTCCACTTTGGCTACTGCATCTTGCATAGTAGGTGCTCGAGCAGCTGAATGAATGGTCAGTTGTCTGGGCCCCGGGAGGATAGTGAGACACGGGGTGGTGGAGGGCTACCCTTGTCCTGGAGTCCCTGGCCTCCAAGAGTCCTGGCCATCTGTTCTTCACGCCTCAGCAGTGCCTATTGACGGCCACATCTCGCGGTCAGTCAATCATGAAGTAGGTTAATGTCAGCAGCTGGACTCAGGGACAGAATGGGAAGGCACCCGATGGTTGCCAGGGAGCCTGAGTCAGCCCCATCAGACTCAGGGCTGCCTTCAGCTCCCTTGAGGGGATCCTGCCCTGAAAGCCGTTGGGGACCCTAGACTAGACTAGGACTAGACAGTACCCCAAGATTGGTACTGTGTCTTATCTTTTTTGTACCCCAACAACTAGCTCTGTGCTAGATGCATTACCAGGTGCTCAGTAAATGTGTGCTGAATTAACAGAGGAGTAGTTGAATGACACTGGACTTCATTTGAGGTACGGAAATCCTAAGGCCCTCCCCCTTTCATTCAGACAGTTCCCAAAGTCTCACCTTCCTCCAAAATAAGTGAATGGTGCTCGCAAGGAATCAAACTGGGGACAAAGTGGATTGATGGGGAGAGAAGTGACTTATTCTGCCATAATTCCAAGAGTTACCACCGGGAAACTGAGCAGAGATGGGAAAGGAAGGGGCACCTGCCACGTGCCAGGAATCGTCGTTTATCACCTTGGTGATGCGTTCATCACACATCCCTGCTCTCTGAGGAGAACAGGCCTTAGCCCTCTGGGAGAAGAGAGATCAAATCTGAGAAGCAGTGGGAGAGCCGGAAACATCTAACTAGAAAGTCTGAATGAGCGAGCATAATAGGGAACTGGTGGGGAGGACAGTGAATGACAGATAAACTGTGAGGTTTCTCGGGGCAGCTGCCTTTGAGTCGTTCTTAGCAGCTGTGGGGTGTGGGTAGGTTCACTTTTGAAAATAGCTGTGAGGATCCAATCGGCTCCCCCTTTTTACATTTTTGATAAATGCAAATAAAATATGGGAATTTGTTTTCTTAGGGACTTTTGGTTTCTGTCCTAGGCATCTTTTTTTTGGGGGGGGTGGGGTTGGAGTCTCACTCTGTCACCCAGACTGGAGTCCTGTGGCCGCTCCCCGCCACCACAGCCTCGACCTGCTGGGCTCCGGCGATCCTTCCACCTCAGCCTTCCAAGTAGCTGGAACTACAGGCGCGCGCTACCATGCCCGGCTGATTTTTTGATTTATTGTAGAGACGAGGTCTCACCAAGTTGCCCAGGCGGGTTTCGAACCCGCAGGCTCAGGCCATCCACTCACCTCAGCCTCCCAAGGCGCGGGATTACAGGCTGAGCCACCGAGCCCGGCTTGTCCTAGGCATCTTATACTGTGACTCCAGCACATGTAAGACTATGCCTCTCTTCCTACCTTCAACCACTTGCATGGTAGGTAGTGTCATCTCCATTTTACAGATGAAGAAACTGGGGCTCAGGCAAGTTGGTGGGCTCTGCCCAAGATTACAGGACTATTTAAGTAGAAGAATCAAGATTCAGTCCCATGCTTGTCTGTCTGCAAAGCCAGTACACTTTTCCTAGCAATACAAATGACTTTCTATTCTGTGTATTTGATCACAAAACTACTGTAACTCCTTTTCCTTCTCCCCAAGCCCTATGATCGTCATCTTTGCATCCCCACGCTGACTCCACAAACTGGAAAGAGTTCACTGGCTCTTTGAAGTGGCATCTGAGCCATCTTTATTGTGCAGCACTGTGTCCATTACATGATTACCCACACCAGGATGTCTGTCTCAGACCATGAGACCCTGAGGCTTGGAGCCACTGTAGCTTAATCCTCTCCACAGAATGCCTCGCTTCCGTGCAGATGTGGCTCTGGTAGAGATTCCAGCTCAGGACCACCTGTTTCTTCCTCATGTCTGTCCTTTTTGGGGCTTCCCCCAGAGGCATACATTGGGCATAAGCTCAGTGAGCAGGGATGTCAGAGCAGAGGAAGGGGATCAAAGGGGTGGGGAAGGAATGAAGAAAATGATGACAAGCTGGTCCCAGCAGGGGCATAACCAGGAGGAGGAAGGGCTTGGGAGGGTGGATAGGGGCAGCTAGCTGGGGTGGGGCAGCAGTGACTGGGCAAGCTCTGGGACTTCCCTGGCCACCGCTTCGCTGGCAAATCTACCACAGCTGGCTCAGCTTCTCAGTGCTTGAGGGTCACATATTCCACGTCTTCCTGGGCCCGAGGCCGCTCCCCAACCCCAAACTGAATCAGCTCCGAGTAATGAATCCCCTCGTCTTCTGGAATATTCGGAGCCACGTTCTCATAGTCGCCCTGAGAAAGCCACATGTTGGTAAGCTTGGCCTCACAGTCTCTGGCCTCCCACTGCCTTTTTCCTGAGGTTCAGAAACCCAAGTGGGTGTCATCTTGTCCAGAAACTGACTGTGGACAGCATCTAAGACGGGGGTACCTGCTTTGGCTTTGACCACCTCGGTGTGAGCAACATTCCCCAACCAATGCCCAGCCTTTGCTGCCCAAGCCCTCCCCATGTGGGACTCATAGCTGAGCCCAGGCTTCTTCCTCCCCAGTCTGTCACAGTCCTACCCTCTTACCACTCGACGCTTCTGCACCGTCGAATAAGTGACAGTGTTGTCGCCGTTTGGGGGAGCTCCCTGCATCTCTGAGGTTTCCGCATCTCTGAGGAGGAGGGAGGGCAGATAGAGACCACAAATAAAGCATTTCCCATGAACTCTCCTCTTTTTCCCAGCTCCCCCAGCAGCACTGCAACCTAAGCCCCTTATAGATAAATAACTCGCTGTCTCACAGTAGGAACTAAGGAAAATGAGTGCCCAAGGAATGTGTAGATACATAACATAAGGACTTGACCTTCATGATAAAGTCTGACTCTGGGTGTACAATCTCCTGGCTTGAAGAAAGAGGTCCACTTCTGGAGACAGTCCCTTTTCCTCCCAAATCCCCTTTCCTCCCAAATCCCCTTTCCTCCCAAATCCCTCCTGGGGCGCAGGAGTCACTCCCAGTTCCCTCAGTACCCAGTTCGTGGTGTGTCAGTCTCGGGAAAGCGTAAGGCAGCATAGCTAATGGCATCTTCCATCACTGGGTTGTAGCATCCCAGGGAGTGGGGGCCTTCAGAGAGTGGAGCCCTTCTCACCTGAGAGAGAGAGGGTTGAAGCTCCGACCACTCTTTCCCCCAATCTCACTCCCTTCCCCTGGTCTCCGACAGCCAGATCTCCCCAGAGGATGCTTTGTCACCCTCCATCACCTCGTTTCTTCACTGGACTTCAAGGTCTGTCCTGCAGTCCATCTTTCTCCATTCCTACCTTGTTATTTCTCACAAAGAAGCTCTGACCACTGGAATTCTCCTGAAGCCCCTGCTGGCTCTGAGTCCTCTTCCAGCTAAAAAATTAAGGCACAGCCACAAGGATCAAGGGAATGGGAACAGGACCTCAAGAACTCAAGTTGGAGGCTTCAGGCTTGAGGAACTGCAAACGGACATCAGCCAGGGGAGAGTAGAGGAGGTAGTCAGTGGGAAGAGCTCACCTTCGCTGGAGCTTGAGCCCCCAGACTGCCAGGATGAGGACAGCCAGGCAGATTCCGATTCCCAGGGCTGCTCTCCTGCCGATTGTCTCTGGGCTATCTGGTGGGGAAAGGCATGGCCTCAGTCAGATAAAGGGCCACCTCTGCCCTGCACACTTGCCTGGAAGGCCTCCTGGACTTCTGTCTGCAGTCAGCCATGTCCTCACTTACACATCTCCTTCACACATGGGAGAGTGATGCAGAGAAAAAGGGTGATGCTACCACCTGCCTTCTGGACCTCTCCTGAGGAAGAAAGGGCTAGTTCTTTCTCCTGAGGAGCTCAGGTTCTCCCCCTAGACATGGCAATCCGGGAGCCTGTGACCCTCACCCTCACAAATGGTGTAACTCTTCAGGGCAGTTTGCCTATACAATCAGAACTTAAAATGCACCTGTCTTTGACTCAGAATGTCCAAATGGGAATTTACCTGCAACTATCCCTGCAGGCAGGCCCAAAGCAAGAGGCTGCAAACCTCTGCTCTGAAGGAGAACTGGGTGGGGAAGGTGTGTAACATTTGTACTTGGGGACTCAGTGCAGACTTCTGGACCTCTGCTTAGGAAGAAAAAGAGGCAGGTCTCAGGGTGTCAGGAAAGTGGATACTCAGAGAACAGTGGTTTTATACAACGTGTCCGTTAACATTTTCAGATAACATGCTCAGGGTGTTTTTCTTTAGCCTCAGGCTTTGCAGATGATGGTTCTCTAAATTTGAAGCCATGGCTCCAATCATTAGTCTGAAAAAGTACAATAAATAAATTAAACACGTTCTCTGTGTCCAAACTTGTTAGACACTCTGTATATACAGAACAATCTCCAAATGGTGTTATTTCATGGAAAAAAAAGAAAAGTCCAGAGCAAAATGTGAGCTCTGCAGCCATCTGTGTTATAAAGAAGGGTGTGTGAACATAGACCTCCATCTGTGTGTTGTGCATTGCAGAATACCACTGAAAGCAGATGGGACAGCTGTGCACAGTGGGGTCCTTTGGTGGGAGAACTAGAGTCCTCAGGGATTGTGTGAGAGGTGTCTATCTTTCCATTATTTATTTTTTTGTGCTTAAAAATTTTTTTTTTGCCATGTGCTTGTTATCTGTCTAAAAACCACTAAAATCATAAAGATAAAAATAGGAACCTATCTAGGGTAAGAGAAGGAAACAGTAGGCAGATAGAGACAGAAAGAGGGACCCAGCAGGGGCTCAGGACATCTTGAAAGTGGGGACAGCCTGAGAAGGAATCCTTGAGAGAATCAGGAGACACTGAAGGAGAGGTAGAAAAAGACAGGCCAGTGAAGCTAGACAGGGTGACCCCTCCAGCAGCAGTGGCAGGCGGCCTGGAGCAGGGCGTGTAGACTGGAAAGGGAGGGAGAAAGTGAGGCAGAAGGCGTCAGGGGGTCTGGAAGGCACAGGCTTTCAGGGGAGCCACAGGAGCAGCTAGGGCCAGAGAGGGGCCTGAGAAGGAGCAGGAAGGGGCTCTTACAGTAGACAGTGAGGGTACTGGGGGGCGACTCGCCCATGCCCAGCCAGTTGGTGCCCTGGCACCGGTAGGCGCCTGAGTGCTGGACCTTCACTGGCTCCAATCTCAGCGTCTGGCCACCATGGTGGAGGTTTTGGTTATTCCAGTCAAACCAGTTGTACTGGGAGACGGGAGGGTTGGCATCACTCTCACAGGTCAGGGCTGCTTTCTTCCCCTCCATTATTCTATCCCCTGGGTTCATGGACACACGCAGCCTCCTAGGTGCATCTGTAGGGGGAAGCGAATTCAAGACCAGGCAGCCGGTCCCCTGCTCTTCTCTGCTCCCAGCCTCCTTCCCCGGCCACTCACACAGCACTTGGAGCATCCAGACCTGAGACGCAGTCTGCCCTATGGAGTTGTTGACCGAACAGCTGTAATGTCCAGCGTCTTCTGGGGTGACGGAGTCAAAGCGCAGTTCTTTTCCTGCCCCCAGAAGGCTCCCATTTCTCTTCCAGAAGAAGTGGACTTCTCCAGGGTGGCTGCTTGAGAAGTCACACTGAAGAAGGACCCGGTCCCCAGAGCGAATCTCGGAATGGGGACTGATCTTCAGGATCCTTACGTCTCTGGGAGCATCTGGAGGGCAAGGGCCTCAGGCTGACCTCTCAGTTCCCTTTCACTCTTGCTGTCCCCAGGGCTGTCCCTCCCCTTGGCCCTCAGGCTTGGTTGTCTTCCCTCAATTCTATCAAAGACTCTGGTCCCGCCTCCAGTCTCCTCACCTGACTAACCACACGTCCCAACTGGGCCACCTCCCAGATTCCCTGCCCAGTCAGGGGACTCACACTGGACATTCAGGTTGACAGGAGAAGCCCACGAGCACCAGTTGTTACAGGCTGCACAGGTGATTGTTTTGATGTCCCAGTCAATTTTCTGGATCATCAGCACCCCAGGTGATGGCTCATTCCAGGAGCCTTTGGGGCTCCATTCGTACCGGGTAACTCTAGGGTTACTGGAATTGTAGTTACAGGAAAGGGTCACACTGTCCCCTTCTCGAATCGGTGTGGGGTTTTGAATCACCGTAGTCACACTCTTGGGGGAATCTGGGAGAAAACCAGAGAGGTGAGTAAAGAAAAGCCAGCTGGTCATAATACCTTTTCCTTCCTCTTTCTCTCTCTCCATTACTTATCCCCTACATTCACGCGTTTCCTAAATTAATCAAAGGAAGATTTGTGCTTCCCTCTTGCATCTGTGTGGGGATAGAGACCCTGGCCTAGCTATTTGGCTTGGCTGTGGCTTGAAGCAGGATGGTACAGCGGTTGAGGGCACAGCACCAGAGCCAAACTGCCAAACCCTTTCACTTAGAGCTGTGTGATCATGGGCTTCAGGAACTCAGTTTACTCCTGTCAAACAGGGTCCTGAGAGTATCTAAACTTGTGGAGTTGTTAGCAAGGATGGAATGAGATGGTGCCCTTAGAGCAGAGTGTGGCATGTAGTAAACACTTAGTAAATGTTGCTGCTGCTGTTATTATATATCCAGCTGTCTAGATGTTTAGGGTTTGGGCATCTCTGTCAGCACATATGACATCTCAGGATCCAAGGATCAATCCTTTGGGTTCTCTTTGTCCTGGGCTCTACTCAGTAACAATGGAGAGGTAATGAGGTATTTTGCCCCAGTTTTAGAAAATGTCAGGACCTCTTCTGGGATGCAACCACTGCCTAGCAACGCTGTGTCTCTGTGTCCCTCATGGAGCCCTCGCATCTTGCAGTTCATTCATTCAACAAGCTTCTCCTGAGAATCTCCCATGAGCCAGGCCCTGCAAGGTGCTGGGAATACATCTGTGGACAACAACAAAGCCTCTGCCCCCAGAAGCTTACAAGTCAGGAGACCCTGGCTTCTGCCTGCTCTTCATCTGGGACTCATAAGTTCCCTGTGCCCATCTGGCTTTCCTCTCCCCACTTCCATCTTCTTTCCCTAGAACCAGAGACTCTGTGACTACTCACACTGAACATCCAGCTCAGCTTCCGGACCAATCTTTCCAATACCATGAATGTTTTGTGCCAAGCAGGAATAATTCCCAGCATGCCAGGGAAGGACATCTGGAATCCAGAATTCCTTTTCTGTCCTTCCCAGCACATCTTTCCCATTGTGATACCATGTGTAATTTGTGGGCGGAGGATTGGCCAGTGATGTACAAATCAGCTCTACTTTATTTCCCTCGAGAACTGGTGACGAGAGGATCTGAACCCTGGATGGTTTCGGAGCATCTGGAAGAAGGGTCAGAATCAGGTGGGGAGGTGAGAACCCTCCAACCAGTGTAAATGGCCACGAGAGCCCCCACTGCTCACCTCATGAGGGCCTTGGGTCCCCCCCTGCTACATCCTCACCCGCCCCCCCAACTCCTAGGCGGCTCACACCACACTTCGAGAGTCACTTCTTTCGACGTTCCTCTGCCCACATCATTGGAGGCTTCACAGCGGTACTTCCCACTCATCTCCTTGTCCACTGGAGACAGAGTTAGCGTGAGCGTCTTCTCTCGCAGTGGGAGCCCATCCTTAAGCCAGGATGTTGTCTGGTACTCTGGGTTGCTGCTGGTGATCTCGCAAGACATTGTCACAGACTCCCCCTCCATTACAGTGGCTTCCCTGGGACTGACCTCGATGTCCAACTTCGGGGAGTCTGGAGCAGAGGGACAGCAGGGGAGGGGACAGGGAATTCTCAGAGGAGGGAACGTGTGAGAAGTGGTAGTGACCTGCTACTCCCTCACCCACATGCCTGTCACAGCCTCCTAAGTCAGCTCTCGGCTTCCCCCTTCCCACTTCCCCTACTGGCTGGTCTCCACCAGCAGCCAGCAGGATTTCTAATACCATCAGTCAGACCTTGTCGATGCTTGCTTGAAGCCATTCAGTAGATTCCACACTTTGAATAAAATCCCAAACCCTTGGAATCCAGAATCCGCTCCCTCACCTGCTTCTCCTCCCACTCGGCGCTCCTTCAGCCTCTCTGCCCTCCTGCTTCCAGATCCCATCTCAAGGGCTTTTTTCTTGTTCTTTCCTCTCCCTGGAATCTTCTTCTCAAAAAGATGTGCCTGCCCGACCCCACCCTCCAATCAAGTTAGTTTAAGTGTTCACCTTCCTCAGAGAGGTCTCCATCACTCCCCCATCCTAGCCCTGCTTAATTTTTTCTTAATGTACATATCACTGCCTACAATAGTGTTCAAGATTTCTTTTCTTTTGAGATAGGGTCTTGCTGTATCACCTGGTGGAGCCACACCTGGCTAGTTCTGTATTTCTTTGTCCTTTTATTGTTTGTCTTCCCCATTGCAATGCTAGCTCCGTGTGGGGCAATAAATATGTTTATTGCTGTATCCCCTGACCCGCAGCCCCCAGCTGGCAGCCATAACAAGGCCTGGCATCTGGTAGGTTCACAGTAAATAGTTATTGAATGAATGAATGAGGCACAAAATAATGCTATGAAAAAAATTTCCTTCCAAGGAGGGACGAAGAAACCTAACAAGATAGTCCCAAGATCATGTCATGACTTGAGGAAAGGTTATTTCATTCTATTAGGCCAAAGAAGAGGCTAAAAGGAATGTGTTTCCTGAAACACAGGACTGACAAGAGGGAGGTGGAAGAGGGAACGCAGCTCTGCCTGGGCCACTCTCAGCTGCAGGCAACCTCCGATTGCTTATGCCTCCCTTTGTGTAAGGTCCTCTCGCCCTCAGCGTGTGCCCACGATGGGGCCAAGGAGAAGGTTACAGGACCTCATCCTTCCCATGGGACATCGGGAGACTCACGCTTTATGTCCAGCTGCACCGTTTCCTCAGAGAGCACCCGCTCGTCCACATCACTCCAGAGCCTGCAGGTCAGGTTCTTCCCGTGGTGGCTCCACTGCGGCTGGAACTTGAGCTCACTCCGGGTGAAGACGTTCTCAGTGGAAAGGGAGGTCAAGGTGACAGGATTCCCCTCCAGGGACCACTGCAATTGGATCTGGTACCCAAAGCAGGTGAAATTCAGTAGGCAGATCAGAGTGACTTCCCGGGACTCCCAGATTTCTGAAGGGAGGTAGATGTGAGGTGGAAAAGGCCTTTCTGCAAAAGAGTAGAGCCCATGCTGGAGCCTGGGGCACCACGTACAGGTGTGTACACCAGGCTTCAGATGGCCTGTCCTGAAAACTCATCAGGTACCCTTTGCCGGTCCGTCCCACCCCTCTCCAGTCCTGTTTTTCTGCACTTTGAGTCACTTTTGCTCAGCCAGAATACCTCTAAAAGGCCTTGACAACACTAAACCTCCTTGGGAATTGTATTCTAGACTTCATTCTCGCTTCTGGAGGTTTGTTTCCAAAATGTTTGCAAGATTGTTCCTCCTACCATCCCACGTGAATTTTACCAGTTTAATTCAATGTGAATTTTTTTAGCTTTGATGACAAACTTGTGTTTGTTGAGTGGCCTTGGCCTTGGAGACATCCAAGCACTGCATTCCCTTAGTGAGTAAGTTAGGTCTGTGTGTGACAAGTCTCAGCTCTCCCCTAGGCTGGGTCACCCTTCAGACAGCAGGGCCTAAAGCAGCATCTCTCTTAGAACTGCCCACCAAGGAAGCCAGCTGTGGAATGGAGTGACCGCCCTCCCTAGGGCAGAGGCCCCAGACCTGTGTTGAACAGGTCATATCCAGTCCTTGCATGCATGTCATCTAGCCTTGAAGGGTTCATTAGAATCAGTCACCAGCATGAACATATAGGGAGATTTCACTTGAAAATCCACATCTTCTCTTGAAAAATCAGATTTGGCAACCTGGAACCCAAATTCCAGAATGGGCAGGAGCCAGGACAGCCGAGGGGCAGGTGGAACAGCCAAGGGAGAATAAGTGCTCATGCTGTCGTTTGCCACAGCCCCACCTTGTGCTGCCGAGTCACCTGCTCACACCCCCTGCCTGACCTCTTTGGGCAACTTGGCTTGTGACCCTTGTTCCAGGAGTCAGGTATTTCCTGCTTCCCTCCTTGTCCCTGTCCAAAGCAGAGGACCCGTCCCCCAAGGCCTTACTAGAGACATTGAGGTGTATATTCTCCATCCATTTGTCATTCTTTGTCATCATCCTCAGCCCCAGCTGACCGCTGTCTTGAGCTTGCACTGGGTGGATACTCAGGGTGCAGTTATTATTCTTGTTCCCCAGGAATCGTACCCTTCCCTGCTGAGAAGGAGACTCCCCGGGCTTTGTGTTGGTAATGAGGATGGTCCCACTGTAGTTCTTGGTTGTATCATTATAGGCAGCATTGTGGTACAGGGTGTAGCTTTCCAGGAGCTCTTTCGGCCTTGGGATTTTATAGAAGCAGGGAATCCAGATGCAGGCCCCCTCCCAGGCGTAGAGGGTTGGAGGGTGCTTGAAGGTCCATTTATTTGAGTCAGAGAAAGCCAAGTATTCTGGAACTCACCACAATGATAAGAAAGCATTATTGAGGGGACATGAGAATTTTCAAAGGAATAAATAATTCGTTCTGATGATAAAGGGAGAGACAGGGAGATACACAAGGAGAACAGGACACACAGAGAGAAACAGGCCAGGTGCAATAGCTCAAGTCTGTAATCCCAGCACTTTGGGAGGCTGAGGTGAGAGGATTGCCTGAGCTCAGGGGTTCAAGACCAGCCTGGGCAACTTGGCAAGACCTCGTCTCTACAAAAAGTTAGCTTGGCGTGGTGGCGCACACCTGTAGTTCCAACTACTTGGAAGGCTGAGGCGGAAGGATCACCTGAGCCTAGCAGGTCAAGGCTGCAGTGGCCGTGAGCATGCCACTGCCCTCCAGCCTGGGTGACAGAGTGAGACTCCAACTCAAAAAAGAGAGAGAAACACACACACACACACACACACACACACACACACACACACACACACACACACACACACACACCGTCTGCCCCCACCCTGCCCCATCCACTCTTCTCTGCCCCAGGTCTTTCCTCCTCCTCCAGTACCCACTGACATCCCAGAACCCAAGTGCCAGCCTAGGTCACAGTCCTTACCCAGGAGCAGGAGCCAGGGGCCGAGGAGACGCATGGTGTTGTGTCTAGGCAGGACCCTGAGCCGGGAAGAGTTTGTCTGTGAGCCATCTGGTTGCTTACTTCTTCCCGGTGGCTGTTCTGGCTCACACACTGAGCTCCCACCCTTTCCCCCATCCTGATAAAACCACGTCTGGCTGCACTGTGAGGATGTGGGATTCAGGATGCTCTCGGAGTTTTCTCTGGGTATGCCATGCCTCTCCTTCAGTCAGAGAGCCTTGGGGGGCAGCCTCTCTTTCTCCCCAGAACGCTGTCCTTTCTTCCCGCCTGCCGACTTGCTTTCCTTGATCTGTCCATCCAGCCATCTGTAGTTATACAAACTTCCTTCCCCACGCTCAGGCTTTAAGTGGCAGCAGACCATCGAGAGGCTTGAATGCCAGGCACTGGGGAACTTAGAGCTCTCACTGAAGCTAGTAATGAAGGGTTTTACACAGGGACTGACACAGTCATATCTTAGTTTGAAAGACCAGGAAAAAGAATTACAAAACCAAAAACAAAGTATGGCACCAGAAAAGTACTTAGAAGAGCCTGGAAAGTGTTAGAAGAATGTGGTCCGTGGCTGGGCTTGGTGGCGGAGCCTATAATCCCAGCACTTTGGGAGGCCAAGGCAAATGGACTGCCTGAGCCCGTGAGTTCAAGACCAGCCTGGGCGACTTGGCAAGGTCTTGTCTCCACAATAAATCAAAAATTAGCAGGGCGTGGCATCGCACACCTACAGTTCTGGCTACTTGGAAGGCTGAGGCGGAAGGATCGCTGGAGCTCAGCGGGTCAATGCTGGGGTGGCCATGAGTGTGCCACTGCACTCCAGCCTGGGTGACAGAGTGAGACTCCAACTCAAAATTTAAAACAAAAAAAAAAGAATGTGGGCCAAGGGTCCCACTCAGATGCCCCAGGCCGGGTAGAAAACCAATCAACCAAGTGGGGGAAAAAGGTCATGACTTGTCTAAAGGTGGTGGCTGTCTCAGCTGCAGCCAGTTGTTGCCAAGTAGAATGTAAGCTCAGGACTATCTGATGTACCACTGTTTTAAGAAAAGTGAGAAACCAAATTTTGTTTAAAAAATACATAGTGGGCAACCCCCTTGGGTCCCCTCCCACTGTGGGAGCTTTTCTGTTCTCGTAATAAGTTCTGCTTTCTCAAAAAAAAAAATACACAGAGCTAGTCAAACAAAGCCTATCTGTGGGCAGCCACTGCCCATCACTGTGCAATGAACTTGCCTTCTACCACCCTTGATTTTGGTACAGAGTGACATTTACATAGAGTTAAATTTAAGTTCCAATTTACATGATTGTAACCCTCTGTTCTGGTCCCCAGGGACTGGCAGGATGTGCCAACAGAGTGTGTCTCCGGTCTCAGTGTAGACGGGAACCCCTTCACCTGCCTCACCAACATTTCCCACACATCAATGCTCCCCTCCCTTTCTCCTTGGGCTGTATGGGTTGTGCCAGTGCTGGGTGTGGGAAAGCTAAGCTGCTTGCCAAGAGCAGGAAGGGGGTCTGTTTCCAGGTGTAGGGGCTGGTCTGGCCTGGGCATGGATGGGGGGTGAGGGGTCTGCAGCTGGGGCAGATTCTCCAGGCAGAGCTGACATCAGCTCTGCAGGTACTAACAGTTATACACACCAAAAAAGTCTTCAAGGTCATATCGACTTGAGAAAAGCTTGGTTAAAATGTTAAGTAATATTCTTTACTGGAGAACTTTTCAAACCTTTTAATAAGCTGTATTGCATCATAAATCTCTAGACATGGGGATCAGAGTATAGACCATTGCCTATACCTCTCTGGCCATGGGATCTAGCTTGCATTTTCCATAAAAAAACTCTGCAGGGTTGTAGGGCCAATGCTCTTTGAGAGTCCCTTAGGGTTTTCTAAGGGGAAACAAGGGCTTTGGCAAAGACTGGATTGTGCCCTTTCTGCCAGTACCCACCAGCCACACCACCTGGCTGGAGAACCCAGCACTGAGTGGGAGAGGGACCCTTCCAGAACAGGGCTGCAAGCTCACCGCATGGAGCTCCAGGCAGTGTTTGGAGCATAGGAAGTGAAGCCTAGATCTGGGGATTGGAAGGCTGAGAAATCAGGGCGTGATGTGGAGGCTAGGGACAAAAGTCTTTAGGCACAAAGGTTCAGGACAAGGTCATGCTGTCTAGACCTGTGACCTCCTTGCAGGACCCTGGAGCTGGCCTCCCTGACTCCACTCTTCCTCCCGGGCATCCAATGACCCGTCTCACTCTCAGAAGACTCTCCAAGCATGGCAAGGGAGATTCTCAAAGGCAGAAGTCTGTCTACAATTTGAAACATGGGCAAGAGAAAGGGAAGTCCCTACTGTGTTCCCAACCCTAGAAATTGTGCCCGGCACTTAGCAGCTGCTCCATACTTGCTTGTTGAATGCAAAAAAGAACAAAATGGTTTTTACCTGTTTCCTTGTGTCTTCCCTTTTCAAGGACCCTTGCAGCATCTGAGAGTGAAAGGGGAAGTATAGTGAAGTCTCAAAGTGACTACCCTCTATGGCCACACCCCCTGCCTCTTGGTGGCTCTGAAGGTGACTAAGAGGCATCATGATCTGGGGAGTGAAGAAAAAGACAATGGAAGGGATATGGACTTGGTTCAGAGGGGAAGACTCACATATCTAGGGTCTGCTTTAGTTTCAGTGTATGGATGTTCTGCATCAGATCAATTTCAGAGCTGGCTTCTCTGCAACCCCATTCTTTGCCCAGCTCTCAGGAAATGTGAATGACTCAAGGCCAGCAGAGGAACTACCAGCCTGTTGAAAAAGACACAGGTCAACTTGAAAGTATTTGTAGCTGACTGCCACCATCCAGTTATTATCATTCCTTCTACTTTCCATTACAGTCATGAATGGTGGAAAATCTGATCACTTGCATTGATGCTTTGGCAGCCCCCAGGGTTGAGAAAAGAGCACACAGATATCAGGAAGGAAAAAGATATCTTCTTGGAAATGAATAGGAAAGCCTTTTTTTTTTGAGTCGGAGTCTGTCACCTAGGCAGGAGCACAGTGGCACGCTCATGGCCACCACAACCTCTGCCTGCTGGGCTCAGGTGATCCTTCCACCTCAGTCTTCCAAGTAGCTGGAACCACAGGACTGTGCCACTATGCCTGGCTAACTCTTTTCTTTATTGTAGAGACAAGGTCTCATCAAGTTGCTCAGGCTGGTCTTGAACCCCTAGGTTCAGGCAATTCTCTTGCCTCCACCTTCCAAAGTGCTGGGATTACAGACAAGAGCCACCATGACTGGCATGAATGGGAAAGTCTTGAGACTGAAACCTCATTACTTTTTTCAGGTTTCTAGTCATTGTCTCAGGTGCAGAACCAGACAGCAATCAAAGCCATGCAAATCCTACCAATGGTGAGGGACGCTTCTGCGAAATCTTCATTCTGGCACCACTGAATTCTAAGGGCAGCTGCCCATAGAGACAGAAATAGAAAGAGGGAAGAACAGCTTCTTCAAAAAGCAGTGATGTTCTGGAAAGGTAAGGTAGATATACTTTCCACTATTTCTTCTGCTAAATCAACTAAAAGCCCTGGAAATTATAAAACAAGCTTAAGAAGACTCTAAGACGTGGAGAGAAGGCAGACTGGTTAGGGATCTTGGAACCCGAGGAATGATAGGGTAGTGAATTCCCTGGGTTTTCTCTTTGCTTCATGTATCCCAGACTGGACACTGGAGAAGCCAACAACTGAAAATGCCAATGGGCACAAACAAAAAAAAAGTTTCAGCAAAACTCTGCTTTTCTCACCAAAGAACTAAGAAAGGGGCATCCTAGAAAGACAAAACTCAGCCGCGCTTGGTGGCTCAGCCTGTAATCCTGCGCTTTGAGAGGCTGAGGTGAGTGAATTGCCTGAGCCCGTGGGTTCGAGACCCGCCTGGGCAACTTGGCGAGACCTCATCTCTACAATAAATCAAAAAATTAGCCAGGCATGGTAGCGTGCGCCTGCAGTTCCAGCTACTG